GGATCCTGCCCTCCAGCCAGCCAAACCCCTGCCGGCTCTTCTCGCGGGGCGCCAGGCAGGCTGTCCACGGGGAACAGGAGGCCCAGACCGACAGGTCCTGCCCTCCAGCCAGCCACACCCCTGCCGGCTCTTCTCGCGGGGCGCCAGGCAGGCTGTCCACGGGGAACAGGAGGCCCTAGACCGACAGCCCTCGGCTGTGGCGGGCACGCAGGGGAGGGCCTGGAGCAGGGAGGCCAGCCCCCTGGGTTCTAACCGTGGCTGCAGGATGGCACGTCCTGTACCGGTGGGAGATGAGTCAGGACCAGGGGGCCCTGTAAGCTGGACGCTCAGGTGGCTGCTCAGGAGATTCCCGTGCCGCCCAGCTGATTAGCAGTGCACCCACAGCTGGCACCGTGTGGTGTCTACTGGTGGTGCACATGCCTCGGTGCATGTAACAAAATTTATTCCACTCACCAATGGAGAAAATTAGAGGGAACACTGGTCAGGACTCATGGGTTCTCGCTCCGCTCAGTCAGGGGCATGCTGTGCGCCCAGAGGCCAGTTACTCAGCCTTTCAGTGCCTCAGTTTCCCCATCTATAAAGCGGGAGCCACTATCCCTCCCTGGAGGTCGCTGGAACAGGGCCTGAGGAAGGACCGCTGAGGGGCGAGGCCATTGCCTGTCTAGCCTCCCTGGTGGGGTTTAAGGACATCTCCCCAGCCTCCAGGCCCCCACCGGGAGCGGAATGACAAGGTCCCTCTCTCCGTGGGCCCTAGGAGAACGGGCGGACCAAGCTGGAGCTGATCCCCAACTCAGGAGTCTACATCACCCCCCACCAGCTGGACGACCTCTCGCAGGTCCCCACCGACAAGCCCAAGCTGATGACCCGCCGCCTGCTGGATTACTTCTTCTCCCGGGAGACGCTCGCCAGGTCCTCGGCCACCGGCCAGCGCATTGCCCACAACAACATGACCATTGCTGTGGGCGCCGCCATCAAAGGTAGGGGGCGGGCAGGGCGAGCGCTGAGATCCCGGCCTGTTGCTTCCTGCGGCTCGCCGCCCTGGCCCGGCGGGGAGAGGGCCGAGCAGGCGCAGAACGGGCAGGGCTCCGGGGTGGGCATTGAATGCAGGGGACGCAGCATGATCGGACCGAGGGCGGGCACTGGTCATACTGGCTCTGGGGGGTCGTGTCCTCCGTGGGGCCAGGCCCATCCTACCCTGCCAGGACACCTTGGTCCTAAGCTAATGGGACGCTCCTCGGCTGGACCTTGTGGGGCAGAAGTGGGGGGAACCACGCAGCC